CCAATTTATCCCACATCTTCTTAAGTCTTCCATAGTACACTATCACTGTATCCCCGGTTTTGTCTACAGTTTGCTATATCAGCCCTAAGCTTACTGATTCTTGGTCTATTTCCCGCAGAGAATTGAAGTTTCAAATCTTCCCACAACGCTTGAGCTTCATCCACCATAGAAATCGATGTCCTGAGAGTCGGCTCAATCATGTTCATTATCCAAGCAATTAACATAGAATTAACCACTTCCCACTGTTCAATCTCATCCTCCTTGGTAGGTTTCTCCATAGTCCCATCAATAAACCCTAATTTCCATTTCGTTTGTAAGGTGTTCCGCGTGCACATGCTTAGCCCAATCTTCACAGTTTTCTCTCTTTAATTGAACAGTAGTGATCAAATTACCCGGTCCATCAGAAGGATGGAGATAAAGTGGAGAGGCCATAGCCTTCTCCGCCACCGTGAGTCCACTTCCACCGCCGCCTTCCGCAGCCTTCTTGCTCAACGCGAGCTCTCCTCCTCCGCTGTTCTCCCCGTCAGCAATAATCTCTTCCCTTTCTCCCTTTGTTTGATCTTTTTCTTAAAACCCTAGCTCTGATACCATGCCAAAGGGAAAAGAGAATAAAGAGAAAGTTGTGTCTTATTCATATCAAAGAAAGAATATATATATACATGTTACAGGAAACCCTAAACATACTTAAGGATTTTAACATAAAACTCTAGGAATTATACTATATTTACATATAACTCCCTAATAAAATTAGCACTCGCCGAGAAATTGAACGATACGAACCTCGGGCTCGAGAAAGTGGAGGATGCGGTCTTGGGTGTTAATGACGAGAAGCAGTGGCACATACTGTCTGATTTCCCTCATGCAGCCGACAATAACACGAAAGAGGTACTCACCGTCGAGTTGTGTATGAGGAGACTTGACCGAGAAAAAGCCTCGATATTTGAAGAGAAGACGAGCCCAACTAGTGAGAAAATGACGGAGGCCTCTGGAATTGGGCTCATCTTCCCGGAGGCCAAACTGAGTACCTTTGCTTTCTCGCCTTGCGGCTATTCGATGAATTCCGTTGAAGGAAAAGCAATTTCTACCATTCACGTGGTGCCAGAGGAAGCATGGAGCTTCGCTAGCTTCGAGTGCTGTGGATATGAGTTCAAGGACGATGAGAGTCTCCAGCAAGTGGTCGCTAGGGCCTTGGCATGCTTCAAACCAAAAATGTTCACGTTGGCGATTCGTTCGAACCTTCCCGTCATCGGTGGTGAGCCACAGTGCAACCTCGATCCCGACGGCTACAGCTGCAAGAGGGAGATATGCTCGCTAGAAAAGGGAGGCTCCGTCGTCTACTATTATACCGTCTGAGAACCCACGGTCAGATCCAGGTTATTATTATTGAAATACGTTTTATTAATTAAAATAAATTAGGGTTTGTAATATGTTTGGTTATGTTCCATCTATGTGTTTCCTTCCGTTTCACCATTTATCTTTGTGTCTATTTGGGCGACGGTTCTCTTCTGTTCTCGTTTCGGTGTGTTGTGTTATAAAAATTTGCAGATGTCTCTTGTTAGACATTGCAGTATAGTACTCACTTCGCCAAAACTTTCTCTACCCACACACACATCAAATATTATTCTAAAGTTGCAACTTTTTTTTTGGTGAAGTTTTTTATGAGATTTGAAAACCTTAATTGGAGAAAAGTAACCAGACATATAAACTGGTCCTACTGAGTACCAGTTTGATGATATGATTGATTCTTAATTGGAGAAAAGTAACTAGATATAGAATCATCATGTTATTGAACAGGATTGCCATGACCAAAGATTGATGATATGATTGTTTTTATTTTGGTCCTACATTTTTTGTTATAATCAAGTCTTAACAGATTGGAGATGATAACGCATTTAAGCAGATTGTCACTATAAAAAAACATGTACTTTAGAAAAAGTTGTACGTAAACCTTTCTCTTTCAAGTGAATAGGTGTGTTATTCTTACCACTTTCACTTCCTGACATATTTGCATAAGAGAATTGCTGATGGAATGAAGTCGTGTAAAGTTGGTGTCCTATAGTTGGGATTTGATTAAATATTCGAGATTTTAAATAGAAAGAATCGAGATTATTGCATCAGATTTGGTAACGATTGTTTAGCAAAATATCTTTTATTAAAATTTTCAAATCTTTAGAATTAAATCCGGTGGCATTCTTTTGTAAATAAGTGTATACTCCATAATTTATTTCAAAAAGTTACTTCAAAAATGTATATATAGATTGTTTTTGAAGATTTTTGTATTGCTACATTTTTAGTGTAGTTGATATTTTAATAATCATACTTTTTTGATGTATCAAATTTAATTCAAGATATTTTTATTTTTCTGTTATTATCCTTTTATTTTCTCTTATGTTTTGCTTATTTGCTTCTTGATTTTTTCTTACTTTTTACTTTTTTTTTGGTAAGTTTTCAATAATTCTAACGTATTGATAGAATTGTAGTAAATATGCGTTAAGAAAAAAAGAATTGTAGTAAATATGTCCCAAAAAAATATAATTCGGCATATTTTTCTGAAGTTTTCATCGCAAATCACATGATAATTCTACCAAAAAAGTTTTCCAAAATGAAGTCGATGGCATTAAGATTAGTGCCACTATGATTGAGTAAAGATGGGATGGGAAACTGCATTAGGTCCATTGAGCCCGTTGCAAGTCACAATGCCTACGGAACCTTAAACCACATTCTGACTTATCCGTCAACTTCTGGTCGATGCCATGGCGCATGGCTCGAAGATGAAGTTCCAAGTCATCTATTCCAACATATCTTCTATAATTCCACTAAAAATAACTATTTAAAATAATCAAAACAGAAATATATATATATATATATATAGGGAATTTGGTCAACTCTACCACATTTGACCAAAGCCTTTCCACTTCTACCACATTTGATAATCTTTTTCCACTCATACCACATTCTTGTGGTATTGTGGTATAAAAAAGACGATTTTGCCCTTAGCTGATGTGGCAGATAAAGTGCAACATTTGTGAACAAGTATTTGGGGGACAATAAACCTATTCGGGGACAATAATCAAACGACATATTAACATCAAATAAAATGAAAAGACCGCAATTAGAATTTAGGAGAACTAAAATCGAAGGACAATGAATTAAAATCGAGAGACAAAAACCAGCTAACATGCAAAAATAAGATGAAATTGTGGATGACTCAAACTTCGGAGACAACTGTATGTAATATTCCTTTTGTGTGCTCAAACAATGAATATTGTTCCCAAAGTTTGAGCACACAAAAGGAAGGGCAAAATGGTCATTACACACGGCAATTGTGGTATGAGTGATAAATGGGCCTGCAATATGGTAGAAAGAAAAAGAATTGAGTCAAATGTGGTATAGATGTTAATTTTCATATATATATATATATATATATATATATATATATATATATATATATATATATATATATATATATATATATTTCTCGATCTTAATTTCATCGCAACTTACATTGATAACTACCAAAAACATTTACCACATAAATTTTTACTGCAAACACATCAAATTATAACATCGACTGCAATTCAACTTTTATAACATGTGTTACTAGTCAACTTTTATAACATCAAATCCGAAAACACTACTTATTCCATACAATCTCAATCTCTAAACGAAATTGAAGAACAAGTTTGACATAAACCCTAATTTACTCACTTGCATAACTTAATTTCCTATATTCTAGATAAAACGATCCTCAAATAATTCGACTATACATATCTTATAGATCTCGCAATTTGAGAAGAGAAGCATTTGAATCGATCAAGCAAACTGGGATACTATTACGCCTTTGAATGTAAATACAAATCCTAATCTGAAGCATATGATCGATCGATTTCAAAGGAATGGAAGCAAAGCGACGAGAAAATTCGACAAGTCTTCGGAATCTAACTAACTAGTAACGCGCTTCTCATTTAAACTGTTTTAGTTGATTCACAAATGAAAGATGCAGATAAACATCTTCCAACATAAAAATTCTCAAATTTCAATTTGCTGAAAAAATATTGTTTTTCTCTTCGAAGAAAGCACTCAAGTTAGAAAAAAGGTAATCTGTGGTTTTTTGTATCTCCGGTCACCGGCTTTCCTTACGGGTTATGTGAGACGTTTAATTATCTGGGTTGTTGGATTCTAAAATCTTCTAATACAAACTCATATAATTATAATTTTTATACCAAAACAATCTTATTATAAGTAAATCTTACAAAATATATATTTTACGGACAGGAACAAAACCGTGGAGAAGAAATAAACGAATTAGGGTTTCGACCAAAGATGGAACAAGGAGAAGAGAAGAACGAAAATGTCACGAGAAAAAGTGGAAGACGAAGTGAACCATCATCGTTGTCAAAATCAGCATCGTCCTTACTTCTCGATCTAACCTCGGAGATACTCCTAAGGCTGCCTGCGAAGTCAGCTGTGAGGTTTCGTTCTGTTTCGAAGCTTTGGTCATCGATCACCACTAATCCATATTTCATCAACTCGTTTCAAAGTCGACCTAATCTTCTTCTCTTCTTCCGAGAAGGTGAGAGGTTACTTGTTTTCACGCTTCCTCAACACAATCGGAATCCGAATGGATCTTCTTCTCAGCCTATTGATAGTTACCATATAAACTATCCAAATATCGTTCCTTCACCATTAAAACCGAGTCGGTCCACGGCTTGATTTGCTTTCAGAAAGCAGGAAACCCTTTAGTTTGGAACCCTACTATGAGAAAGCTCTTACCTTTACCTTTACGCAAACCCGAGAAGAGCTGGAAGAGTATGAACTTCTTTTTAGGTTATGAGCCAGTCGAAGGTAAACACAAAGTAGTGTGCATGCCTTGTGGTAGAGCTTATTATGATGAGTGTCAGGTTTTAACATTGGGATCAGATCAAGAATCATGGAGAACGGTCAAAACCAACCACAAGGGTGGCCCTGTCACTGTCCATCGAACAATTTGCTATGGACAATGCAGATGCATCAATGGTGTTATATATTACCTAGCCGGTATTAATTTTGTTCTGGTTATAATGAGTTTCGATGTAAGATCTGAAAAGTTCGATGTGATAGAATTACCATGGGATAATAAGCTTTGGCCTACGATGTTGATATCTTATGAAGGAAGGTTAGTTTGTCTTAGTTCCAATGGGAACAATAGTCGTTCAATGTGGGTTTTAGAGGATGCAGAGAAACAGGAATGGTCGAGTTATAACCTTTTACCTCTTTCTCACTATGATCCGGGTTCGGAAGACCTTTTCAAACTAATAGGTATTACTATTGATGGTGAACTGATTTATGTACCAAACGCGGTGTTCGAATCTTTTGATGTCATATATATTGATCCAAAGAGAAAGACGTTTAGAAGAGTAGGATATAGAGGAATTGGAGATAAAGATTTTAGACAACGCAATGAACTTGGAGAAAAACCTCTGCGTGGGCTTCAATTTTATCCCAATCACATTGAAACTCTCATGTCTTTGTAGTTTTCTTTTTTATATATATGGTTTTCTTCTTATTTTTATAATGACACTATATTTATGCAACCTTATGATTTCTTATTCTTTCAATATCTTTACATTTTAATTGTAATCTTCTGGCTTTTTCCATAATTTTTGTATCCTTCTTTTAACAAACTTCCTTCATCATGGAAGCCAGATGAGTAACAGCAAGCAGTAGCAGATAATGTGGTTAAGATGCTTGACCTTGCACCTTCTGCGAAAGAGGAAGTACTAAAGCCTGATCTTACTCCTAACCCGGTTTTGCATGTAATACCAGTTTTGTTCTGCTTTTGACTATGTATGATTGTTGTAGGTAATTTGTACAATTTCCACGGATTTTATGGTAGTGGAAATGGTGCAAAACCATAAAATGTCACTCAGCTTAGGAAGACATTTCCTCACAGCCACGGGAGCTAATATCTACATCTCAAACAAGAGAGTGATTCTTCAACATGTCAACAACAAGGTCTCTAATTACCCCATAAAAGCCTCTACGACAAATTATATGAACACATGTCAAAAATCTAGTCGATTAATTAGGTTACACGTTTCATAATCAAGTAACTATAAATATGTCACATGTTGAAGTCTCATGAAACGCGTTTAACTTCATATAAGAAGATATATGTGTGTGTTAATATCTATAATTGAATTATGAATGTCCTATTTTTATAATCCTATGACCGAGAACATAATTTAGTTGAATTTCTAAACACTTAAATATCTGATCATAAACAATCTTTATTATCACGTTAATCATATATAAATTTAATCATTGACATTTTTTTTTTTTTTGACATCTTTGGATCGACAAGGCCGATCCATAGCCAATCTCTACTACGCGAGATAACGCGACTGAGTGGAGTCGAACTCCGGTGGAGAAGGCGGTGTCAATCCCTAAACCTTTGTCTTTAGTCAAGTGGTTAAGTCCATTTAATTTGACTCCAATGACTTATTTAGCACATTAAACATAATATGATAAACATAATATGATTATATTACAACATAGGCAAAGGTTTGATAGCGGAAGCAGCAAACACACAAAATACATAAAAGGAGACGTTACTGATTCAGATGAGACTATAGTTTACTCTCCGAGAGAGGGGATTGGGACGGAATCCGAGGGCGGCTGCATGGAATCCAAAGGGGGCGGGGCGAAGAGTGAAACTGTGTCGATCACTCGATTATGTCAGTGATTGCACCCCAAGATAAATCATCTACTAAACGCCCTATTTCTTTTCCAGTTTGGAAGACTATGATGACCGGGGCATTGGCTAAATTGTAAAGTATTTTAAAGAATGGATTCGTCAAAATATTGACTTTACGCAATATAATTAGGCTACCATAAGTTTCAGACAACCGAGCCAGTTGATCATCCAATATAGCGCATCGGCCACGGCACAACGAGGATGTTACCGTAACAACTATAGGAAGTTGAGTCGTGGTCAGAATAAGTCGCCATTCAACTTCGTTACTCAACCATTTCACTTCCCCTACGTACACACATGGAATGAGTACGTGGATCGTCATACAAAGAGATAAAATTCATCAAGATTATAGTGATTTAAATATATGAGATGGTTATTTATACCTTGACTAAAGCCACTGCCCACCAAGTACATTAGGCATTAGCATTGATTTTGAAAGACTAATTTTATTTTAATATAAAATTCCTATACCTTTTATTTATTTATTGAAAATTACATTTTAGAGACAACCTTAGAGTTCTAAGAAAATTACAAGGACTACCATTAGAATAAACAAAACATGAAAAATATTTTGTTACACTCTTGGTCTAGGTGTAGCCGAGGAAAATGCACTTACCATATTTGTAGCAGCAGATCAAGAAGAAGGTACCTAATTTAGATTAGATTTCATTTAATCGAGTTATGACATTTTTTAATGGAGTAAATTGTTACAAAGTATAGACATGTTAATTATATTATATACCATACCTCAAACAACAAGCCCGTCTAGCTCAGTTGGTAGAGCGCAAGGCTCTTAACCTTGTGGTCGTGGGTTCGAGCCCCACGGTGGGCGTTATATTTTTATATTATTTAACAATTTATAGGTTTGAATATCATTAGAAGATAAATATGGATGAAATCAATAACTATCAGAATTCTGTGATTATACTATTGGTTGGTTCCAAACTGGACTATTTTGGCATCTGGAAATATATGTTAAAAAAATAAATAGAATTATATATGGTAGGAGAGAGAGCCCGTATACATGTGATGTGGTACAACGAGTCTAATGTAGGAGAAGTCTGTACAGTACCCGATTTGCAGACGTTTATAATTTATATACACACTTATATTTCTTCTACGATATGATTACCAAAAAACCTACACCAGAAAATTTTGAACAAAATGAAATGTCCTTTTTCGCTAAAGCTATGTGTTCGTCTCGCCCACCTGAGAACAAAAGTATGTCTAATCAGATATCAGACTCAAAATGCTACCACTCCCGCTTTCCGTAAACGCAAAAGCCGGATGCTAAAACCATGAAACTATAGCAGTACCAAACTATAACTGACATTTGTGTTTTTGTTACGTTCAGAGATTGGTCAGTGAATACAAAACACCAGAGATTATCTAGCCATTAACCCGTTGCGTTTAGATACTTAAGCAAAAAAACAAAAAAGCAAAGCTTTGTTCAAGCAAATGGACAAGAGGAAAGAGCCTTTACCGGGGAGACTGAGAGGGGACATTGGAAGGTGAGAGAGCTCAAAGATTGAGAAAGCTTCTTCAAGCTTTAACTTGAGCTGGTCGTAGGGCTAGTGCCAAAGGTTGAAGATGGTGTAACTGAAGCTGGCATTTGTTGAGAAGCTCCTTCAGCCCAAGAACTCTCAGAAATTGGGGAATATGGCCTCGTCACTTTGTTTTTCACCATTCCCTAAAACGAATACAATAATTAAATCATTATATTAATTTGTTTTTTTGTTTGGCATCTAATTTCCACCACTGTAACTATCACTTATAACATGTTAGGGCCCGATTATTACAAGGGTGTCACTATGTAATTCAAAGTGAAATAAAGAGCTCTTCTCACCTTTAAAGCATTCTGCCCATACAAGTTAATGGCTTGATCGATGGCTGAGTAAACATCAAAGGCCTGCTTGGTGTTGGGAATGCATTTGACAACACGGAATTGTTCCTTCGGGTCATGTGGCTTTGCTTTCAGATAGAGAATAAGCCGCGAAGGTGGAGAGTTAGGTTGGTCTTTTTTCCCGTCAGTCAGTTCCATGGTTACCAGATCATTCCATAGAATATCCCACTGTATAGAACACGCATCTTTTGCCGGAATAAACTTTCTTTGACCCATTATGTTGGAAGGTTGCTAGAAACATTAAAACATTGCAAATTTCAATAGAATTTCTTGGATAGGTACAGGAGACGAACACTATACCAATTAAACCTTATGCATATATATAGAGAGCAAAAAGGTTTTGTCTAACTCACTTGTAGCAATATCACTCTTCGATGTGTGATCATCAGAACTTTTCCTTTTGGTAGGATGAAATGACTTTCGTAGGCATCTGTTAATGCAAACTTTCCGCGTACTTTAAACAGATCAACCTGGCCCAGGAATGATCCAGATTCTGCCAACTGCAATATGACCTGCAAATGCAAAATATTGGAGGATTGAATTTTTGTATAAGAATAATCATATGCTAGGTAAACCAAACCAATATATTATCAGCAGTAAATCCATTCCTCATCAGCTAACCAAGAGCAAGACGCTAGTGCAAGGGCAGGAAATACAAATTTGAACAAATTTATTATGGGTACAAATTGTACCTGCCCCTGTGCTCTGTAATCATTGTAAGGACGAAGCAAGCTATCAGCACCAACAGCTCTTGGAAGTCTCCGGCGAAGAAGTTGTTCATCTGAGGTGATGGCAGCTGCTATCTTCATCCTCATGGCATTTGCACCTTCGGTAGTCTTCGACAGAAGATCCAGAACTCCGCTCACAGGCTGGGCAGCAGCACCAATGATTCCTTTCCCAAACCCAGAGACAAAGCCTTCGACACCAGAAGACTTTGCACCTTCGAGCGGCTTTGTCAATATGCCTGTGACTCCTCTAAACAGGCCTTTCGCTAGAGCTCCACCTCCTTCTCTGATAATATCGCCAAAGTCCTCAACACCTTTGTTCTCCTGCCAAATACAAGAAACACATGAGCGTGTACTAATAAAATGGAGCACAGGAAAGAAACACTGTAGCAAGCCCATACATTTGTTTAGTAACAGAAGCCATGAAAAAATTCAAGTATTAAGAGAAAAAAAAACAAAGCCATGAAGAAACCTGTTTCTGTCGACTTTGGATAAATTTTTTATCCATTGATAATGCAGCTATGCCTTGACTCATATGTCCAAGCGCGCTGCTTGCATTGCCAAGAATATCCACACCTGAGAGCAACTGAAGAGGCTGGCCAAGGAGGTCTTTCTTTACGTTCCTAATAGCACTATTGATCATAGTACTTTGGCGCATGGATATGTTCTCATGAAATCTCTCACTTATGCGTACCTATTTGAAGATAAGAAGAATTAGAAAAAACGAAAAATACATACTGGGTTGAACTGAAAGTGTAGCAAGTAGTACATTGACAAATCAAATTCTATAAACTACAAAACTTGTCGACTTTAATTGGTGTCCTACTGAGTACCAACTAAAAACTAAAGGACATAAACCAATGAATTACTCTGGAATACTTACTGGCATGTTTTCTGTATTCCCAAGAGCAGTCATCAGGGATGACCAAAATCCAAGCACTCCCCTCGGCCTTTGACTGGGGGACATCGCCATGGATACTTTAAATCTAACTTCCGAGAAGTTAAGAAGTCTGCATTTTTGGAGGGGTGTAACCAATATTACGTCTTGTGAATGGAAGATTCATTCCGTAAACAGCATATATATATATATATAGCAAGAAAATCCCGTACATACCCGATTTGAATGAATGGATCAACTGATACAGCCGTCGACTTAGGATCGGATAGTCTACTCAAGTTGGCTTGCTGGATCATCTCATGAATGCGCCAGATAATAGGTTCATGAATGTTTATCAGAAAGGCAGTATTTTCACGTCCCTATTACAGAGATATAACAATGTGAGCAAAATTTTAAATGCAATAAAGAATTGTTCAGGTCGAAAACAGAAACTGTAAAAACTTACTTGGAAACCTATATACGGGTAGACACGGAGATCGAGGCCAGCATTTGATTGCAAAGTAACAGAAAACTTCAAAATGTAATCAGCTTTATCTCCAGTTCTCTGTGGTCTGAAAAGAACTGGCATTGGAGCCAATGGCAATTGGTTATCAACTTGTATTCCTTGCATCCTTAGTTTGAACCTGTAAAACAATAAGCGTTTAGCGATAGCCCAGTGTGCTTGGTTTGTATAGCTGCCAACAGAATCTGATAAGCGCAAATGGCAATTCATGATCTTAGCAAATGTTTTTCCCTGCAAGTCTCAAGCAAATCCTTTTCTGCATCCTAGATGTTTGGAACTTTTCACACTAATGAATGCACAGAGACAGTATCCAAACTTATCGAATTACATAGAAAATCAGTATGGAGAATTGGTGATATATGATGGCCCTTACATTAGTAAATTAGAGCTACACCTTAAGAACCTGATAAACTCACCTGCTAAGTCCAGAGCCCAATCCGGTTGAATATGCCACAAAGAGGTTTTGCACTGACATGTACAGTATTTCCTCAGGAGCATGGTCGATTACGGAGATTCCAAGTTCAGCAAGCTCAACAATAACATGAAACTCAGAATCTTCTGAGGCCAAAAGATGAGATTGCTGAGACTCATTTCCAGATAATTCTGATAGAGATGATGCTGGAAGTCTTCTGCTTATGCTTGACGTAGGCTCAATTGCTGGCATCCAGTCACTGATTCTGACAATATTCTTTTTGTCTTCCTTTAAAATAGTAACTCGTATGGGTCTGGTAGGTCCATTTTCACTTCGTGGTGGATAATCACCTATCTTATCAATATCGAACTTTTCTGATTTAGAAGGATCGTTTCCATCAACAAGAAGTTCAAATAGATGTCGTCTACCAAGATCTTCCCAATAAAACGAAGCAGCCGCGTTAGGAGGAAGAAATTGCCAAGACTCGCTGACACCTTCCACTTGGCGATAGCGAATAGGAAGAAACATGGAACGGTTCTCGATCCTAGGAGAGTTGATTCACATTTTAGTGAGTACAAAAAATATGTATGAAAAGACATAATTATAGGAGAGGGAATACACATTTGGATTCAGCTAACATGATGCATCATTGTATAAAAATGAAGTCATGAGGTTCTTCCACGAACGAGATTATTCACCAAAATTATAACAGTTTTTGAAAAACATATGTTGCAGAAATTTAATTAATCTTAAATGCAAACATGCTCAAGCAGTTGGAAAATCTACCATCTAAATAAATCCAAGCAAAGACAGTACAGTAAAGTCAGGTAGATAACTGAAGCATGTATGTTTACCTGTAAGGGCCAGAGATAGAGTTTGGCCTGAAGATAACTTCATAACGTGAGTTTTTTGTCCCGCTTCTGACTTGTACTCTTAGCTGCAATTGATCAGTC